TCTGTCACTTGCAGATGGCTCTCTTTTGCTGCTCTGTAGGATTAACTTCTCCCCCCCCCACACACTTTTTTCTTTCTTTCTCCCCAACCCCCCTCCTAATTCTTTCCTTCCATGAATTTCCTCATGAGTTTGATTGTCCACCCCTGCTCCACATTAGCTGAATCATTCTGGAAATTGGAGCTGTAACCAACTGTAAACCTTACACCTGATCCCAAAGTGGTAAATCAGCCCTTAAAAGGGCAATGCTGGCAGATTTTTGAACTGCTTCATTAAGGTTGGAGTTTCCTTTTCAATTCCTTGTTTCTTTATAAGGTCCCAAAGACCCCATGGAGAGATTCTAATTAATTCTTACCGATTTTGAAATAGCGTGGGTAGTGTGCAATAATTACTATTTAAAAATAACTAAACCCTTTTGATTTTTTCTTTTTTGCGCGAGGGAGGGGTAGAGAAAGGAAGAGGGAGCCTGTCTCCTAATTTTGAAATGGCAGTTATTCTTGTTATAATTTTCTTTTCTTTTTTTTTTTTTTTTCAGGGCTACTTGGCACAAGGTTCTTCCAGGATTGTTGTAAATGGATACTGCAAATGTAATTCTGGAAAGAAAAGAAGATGTACTCCCAACTGAGAGTGTTTTACCACTGTTTAATGGATATATAATTGGATTCTGGGTTCCAACTGGAACGCAAACACAGGAAGTGTGACATTTCCCCTTTGGGAATTATTAAGCAACATTTTGCAGAGAAAGAAGATATAGGTGAGTATTTGCAAATTATTATTATTATTATTATTATTATTATTATTATTATTATTATTATTTAATGCTAGTGGAATAGGGGAGGGGAGGGAGAACAATCAAATATCCAGAGAAATATACCTGAAAGCAATAATACTGAATCTACAGAAGTTTTGTGGGGTGGGATGGGGTGAGGTGAATAAATACTGATTTTCTGCCCAATATGGGCAGTTATTGACTTGCAACCAGAATTGAGCCCAGAATTATGTTTGTAAGTCATTGCAGTTGTTAAGTGGATCATCCATATAACCGGGGCTGATTTTACTACTCATTTTTGTGGTGGTTATTAAACAAACTCAGTGATCATTAAGCAAATCTGTTTTATATGATGGGTGTTCTTTTGCCTGAAACTAAAACTAAATGCCAGAAATCCTTAAAAATGCCGAAAATTGCAGTCATAAGTCCATGAGATACTGCAAATGGTCATAAATGCAAGCCGGTTGCCAAGAAGGGTCCAAAATGTGAACATGTGACTATGGAGGTGTATGCAGCTGTTGTATCTTTAAAATTGGTTATAAGTACCTTCTGAGGTGGTCCGTCTTTAAGTTCAAAGAGTCGCTAAGTGAGAACTACATGTAAAAAAAATTCTTCTTCTACTTAAGATGGATCCATTAAAGGTCATTCATGTCAAAATATAATAAGCCATGTTAATGTTGTTTAGTTGAGGCTGCAAAGGGCAGAATGGCGGGACCATATTCTATATTGGAAAGGGCCAAGTCCCAGTGAAAATAGCTCATATTTTGTGGGTAATTGGAAAATAGCAATAGCACTTAGATTTATATATCACTTTACAGTGCTTTACAGCCCTCTCCAAGCAGTTTACAGAGCCAGCATATTGCCCCCAACAATCTGGGTCCTCATTTTACCCACCTTGGAAGGATGGAAGGCTGAGTCAACCTTGAGCCTGGTGAGATTTGAACTGCCAAATTGCAGGCAGCCAGCGGTCAGCAGAAGTAGCCTGCAGTACTGCACTCTAACCACTGCACCACTATGGCTCACGCACATTTTGGAAAAAAGATCACCTCTAGTTCTAAGGCCAAAATGGGAAAAGACATATTTTAAGAGTGGCATACCAGAGGCAACATTTTTGAAAGAGGGCAGAGCTAACAAGTGGGAGAGGTCAGGTAAAAAATGAAATATGATTTCATTTACAATTAAATACAATGACATCGATTAAATAACATGATAAATAACTTCTTCCAATAACTCCAAAATTATTGTTCAATGGCAGCTCTTTAAAAGATTTGGATGAGGACTGCATCCAAGATTTGAGGGGGTGGGGACCGTCTGTTTGCACCCCTGCTTAAGGGAAAGTAAACAGACCAATTGCCTGGGAGGGAATTTAGGTTTTTCTAGTACTTACACATATTTATAAATAGAATTTTTTTTTTTTTAGGTAGGATGGCCTGCAAATGGGTCTATTTGAAGTGTCAGCCCTCTCAGCTGAGGAATGCTGGGAACTGAAGTCCCTATACCTGAAGAATGTCCATCTTGGAGAATCACTGCATTATTCAAGAGCACCAAATGCTTAGGGGCATAGAGAATTTCACTCACACCGCTTTCTGATTATTTATATATCTTTGTATATCCGTTACTGGCTTTCTGCTTGCAGCACTAATGCAGTCTAGGAGATTGGGTTGCTTCTGTTTTTAAACGTAACTCATGCTCCTGGATATATGAACATTGAAATGAGGGGTATTTGGTACTCTCTGAGCTTGCTTGTTTTCTTGCGGTCAGGGCAGCAAATGAATGATTCTGTTCCCTGAGAAGAAAGATCTGAATTCCGGCGCCTGCCCTCTTAGGCAGAAATATAACCCGGAGAAAGCTTTCAGCGTTGCCATCATTCCACACAGAGTTAGGATAATAGGACAATTCTTGAAAAGATGTGAAGGAAACTGGACTGACTGTTGCAGTGTTCACAGAAATAGCATTCTATCGCCCGCATGACTAGAATAGTTTCCACTCTAGCTTCAACCCCCCTTCCCCCCCCCACACACACACCCATGCTCATAATTACAAGGAGGACCTAGGTGGTATAAACCAGTCTCACATCACCAAAGCTCTCAAATGTGCTGCACCCCAGACATCCATGCAAGCTGGCTTCTTTGTTAAGGTTAGTATATGTTTTCAGGGCTTCTCTCATTATATGCTCAAAGGGGCTCTGAATATTAAGACAAGTCGGGAAATCCATGAAGGCAAAGAAGGAAGCTGGTGGGCTTGGGAATTCCTTCCCCAAGTTCATTACGGTTTCAACAAAGGAGAATATTTGTAGCTCAGGATTGAAATGAGGGGCCCTTGGAGCTCCCTGAGCAAACTCAAAAAACACCAAGGATCCCTCATTATGGTTTTTCAGCTGGATGTCTTTATTAAATGAATCATCCCCAAATATATCCAAATGTACAATTGCATTTCATAGTCATTATTTCAGAAACCCCTCTGATAAATCCAGAAATTTAACTGACTGTTTTTTATATCGCATATGGGCAGAACTTAAAACCAAGAGTGGAATCAAAAAGAATATGTTCATGACAAAGATGAGATATTGGGGGCCCTTTTTAACTCCCTATCCTACCCTTGAGTATTATGCCAACTTTACACAGCTAGGAAGGAAGGAAGGAAGGAAGGAAGGAAGGAAGGAAGGAAGGAAGGAGGTGCCTCAGTTCACTAGAAATCTAATTCTGAGGTAAGGGCAGAGAGAAGTACACAATCTACAGTGAAAGTGCTTTTGGCAGCATTTGGGTTTTACAACACTTGTCAAAAGCTCTCTGCAGCCTGTAAGATCAATTGCTACATCACAATACAGCACAAAAGGAGATTAATTATCGCCAGTTCACTGGCTCGGCAATTGGTGCCAGTTAAAAAAAAAGGCAGATTCAGAGAAGGGACCAGGGAGAAATTGTTTCTCAAGTGGGCGAGGGATTGAGGAGACGGTTGGCAGTGGCTCCAGACATGCGGCGGCTGCCTTTGTTTCCCTAGTCATCCATCCGTGCCTCTCTTGTGACATGGCAGGTGCAGAGGGCTTTCTTCTCCTTGGTATCAAGTGTGTGCAGCTGCTTAGGAACAGCCCGAGCTACTGGTAAATATATTCTCTGCCCAGACAAAACAAAACTCCAGAACAGGCCCAGGTCTTTCCTGGAGGACCAGAGCTTGCCTAATGTCAGCCCTGTGACCTATTCAAGGTGAGATTTGGGGTAAGAGATCAAGCAAGCCTCTTTGGAGGGCTGCTTGGATAAGTGGAGAAGCATGTAATCCATTTGGGGCATCTGAAGTCTTCTCCTTGCTACTTTTGCGCAGATTAAAAAGATATTGTGCTTGGACAATATCTGTAGGGGAAAAAATCATGTTTACACTGTATTCTTGACATTATAAATTTAAGTGTCATTGCAAACTTCCAGAAAATTCATGTAGTGGTTAGAGCAGGGATGGAGGAATTTCAAAAGTCACTAATGATTACATCACAGAAAAAAGGGGTTGAATCGCCCTTTTGCTGCATTTAAATCAACCATCTCCTGCTGCAATTTGCATAGCTCCTGACAACATTAGTATCTTTATATGCTTTGTCTTAGCTATGGATTCCTGGTCATTTTTCAGTTTAGGAAATTATCTCTACACAGGTTGTTCAAACCTTCACTCCATATTATTTAATATATCACTGAGATGGATAGCGATATAAGTAATATAAGATTATAAAAAGAAGCCTCCTACAGTTATAATGCTTACTCAATGGCTCCAAGCCAATAAAACCAGGCTAAGAGGAAGATAGGTTAGGATCTATCTAAAAGCGTGATTTTGAAATGGTCAGTGCAACATCCTTTTCCTTAGCATCAAGTGCAAAGTGTTAAAATCATCCAAGATACAGAAGTAATTTGTGTTGAAATACTCATCTGCCTGCCTTCTGTAAGCCACTGAGTTGTAAAGAAGCTGATCCCCCCCCACCCTGACTGCCCTTGATCACTAGGGGAAATTTAGTAATTTTTCAACAAGCTGTAGCTGTCTGTTTTTGTAGGGGAAACCTAAGTATGCCTGCAGGGTTAACTGTAGCCAACAAATTTCTGCCGTGCAGCCTATTCTGCCCTTCGCTTTCTAACATTTAGATGAACAGAAGCCCAAGAAACACATGCAAGGGATAAAAAGGTACAGAAAAGGAGAGAGTTGGATGATCAAAAACCATTATGCAAAGTGACTGAGTTCACATGTCTGTATACCATACCCTGGCTTTTGCTCGGTGTATTGTATGAACCAGGAATTCTGGTTTATTCAGATCAGAGTTCAGCAAATCCCAGCTTGGTGCAATGTGTCCACCTTCTTTGATTGTCTGCTTCAGGATTTCAAAGACTCACATCGTTGCTAAAAGTTTTGAAAAAGAGAGAAACAAATTATTTCTTATGTCTTTGGTACTAATTAACAGAATGTTTGACTCCAGCCCGGTAAAGATTTATATTTTAAAGCATGCATGCATATTTTTTTTTTTAAAAAAATAGTTGATTAATGAGACATTAATCAGATGATATAGTAATCAAATTATGACATTAGGTTACATCTCCAAATGAGCCTAACATACTCCACATGACACTAATCAAAAGATTTGAGATTATTTTGATAATTATTTTATTACAAAATGTATATACAGTACATCCTTGTGTGTCCAATCACACTTGGCCAATAAAGAATTTTATTCTATTAAAGGATCAATGGATTAGATTTAAATAATTTCCACATCTCTATATTCTCGTGATGGTTATCTTTTTGGAAGAATGGAAGAACTGTAAGGTACAATTATATTGTCAATGTCTTCATGCCTTAGACCAGGGGTGTCAAACTTGTGGCAACACATTGTCGTCACATGACGTATCGTGACTTTTTTCCCCTTCACTAAACCATGGGTGGGCATCCAGCCCACGGGCCGTGAGTTTGACACCTCTACTTTAGACAATTATTTGGATCCAGCCTATAAAGTTCTTTCTATCCTGCACCTTGGTTTAGTGAAGCTTCATTGTTATGGACATTTTCAGTAGAACTTTAATTCTAATAGCAGACCACTTCATTACTTAAAAACTTCTCAAGCTCCCTCAAGAACAGATCTCTTGCCCAGATTGTTGACTCTGTTCTGAAAGGCTACAACTACTTGCTATAAGTGAAAAATATCTTGAGAATAAACTTGTCCTTGTGTCCTTGTTTGGTTTCTGTTGTTCAACCCAACATGCATCCTATTTGTTATTCCAGAATAGAATTCCATTTCTGCAGTGTTTGGGAGCAACAGCAATACTCCAGCAACCCTGAAATGATTACGGGGTCTGATCACAAATCGATCCAACCACAGATAAGCAAAGTGGTGGATTCAAAAAACAGATCCTGGCACCTCCACATGAGGATTTGCATCTGCCACTTTGAAAGCCGTCCGGGGTCTATCTTCCCAATAAGCAGCATTAGAGTGCTAAACTGATTGGGGTGGAATTGTGCGAAAGATTTATTTGGGTAGAGTATGTGTATTGTAGCTCTATTTCCTCCTGGAGATAATTCGTGCCTCCGTCTTTCTTAAGTTATTAAAGGGAATGGTAGCTTGGAAGCTTTACATATTCACCTGTATCCAAAATTTAAAAATTGCCAGTCTCCCCCTCCCCATGCTTCTTTTAAAAGTGGTCCATAATTCTAGGATATTGGTCTTTGCTCCACTTTTTTCCTTTTTCTATGGAATGAGTGAGTCAATTTTTGCTGTCACAACTCAAGGAGGAGGTAGTTTTTCTCCTTGTTCTCAATGTAATACAGTAAGTCACTAGAAAGCAATGGAGGAATGCAAGGTTAGATCAGCCCAATCCTGTTGGCACTTAGAAAGACCAACAAGAGCTGGCAATTTCAGAAAGTGTTCAGGAATTATATAAGAGGTGGCCTTCTTAACCACCCTCCCACATATACAGTAAGAATTGCTATGTTGTTGAGAGTGATGTTCTTTGGTATGGGTGAGGTAGAAGTTGGATGTCCTTCCTTCCTTCCTTCCTTCCTTCCTTCCTTCCTTCCTTCCTTCCTTCCTTCCTTCCTTCCTTCCTCCAAGTGAAACAAATAGGTCATTGTTCAAGTTTGCCCATTTAGCTTTGCAATGTATCTGCACCATTGCAATAAATTTTGAAATACAAAGGCATGTCTTGTTTTCAGAGGGTATGCTAACTGCTGCAGAGCTAATTGATACTGATTTGGAGGATATTAATGGAAATACATGAGTAAACTTGAAATTATCCACTTGTTCAATTCATATTGACAGTATATATGAATGTGCCTATCTCTCAACTCACAAAGTTTTGCTTGTTGTACCAAATAGTACTCTGATGCCCAATGTAAGCTGAGAGCAAATTTAATGAATTATGGATCAAGAAGTTACTATGGACATTTTAGAATATATTGGCCTGATAAATCTTTGCCTAGATCTAATTTTGGCAATACAGTTCAAATTATACTCTGCATGAGATTCTCTACATCCTGGGACATTCTTAGGCTGAGGCACAAGTAATTTAATTTATTATTATGAAATCAATTTCTGTAGGTTCCCCAGGTGTGTGCATGTGGTCACCAAATCTCTTTTGGTGCATTGCTGAAAATAGCGATAGTTAAACATTGGAATGTATGTTCCCAATCTATGACTGTGAGAGTCAGTTCCTAAAGAAGGCAGTGTGTCAAAGAATTGACGCTTTCAAATTGTGGTGTTGGAGAAAACTCTTGAGAGTCCATTGGACTGCAAGGAGATCAAATCAGTCAATCCTAAAGGAAATCAACCCTGACTGTTCTTTGGAAGGACAGATGCTGAAGCTGAAGCTCAAATACTTTGGCCACCTAATGAGAAAAGAAGACTCATTGGAAAAGACCCTGATGTTGGGAACGACTGAGGGCCTAAGGAGAAGGGGATGGCAGAGGATGAGATGGTTAACCAGTGAGCATAGGTTTGAGCAAACTCTGGGAGACAAGGGAGGGCAGAGCAGCCTGGTGTGCTGTTGTCCATGGGGTCATGAAGAGTTGCACACAATTTAGGACTGAACAACAGCAAACATTGGGAAGTGATTTTCCCATCATTGTGATGAGAAGCATACAAACACAGAAATATAAACAATAAAATAATTTTAATACAGTTAAACAAAGTTCCCCCAAAATATTTTTAAAGGTTTTTTTTTTAGAGCCGAGGTGGTGCAGTGGATAGAGTGCGGTACTGCAGGCTACTTCAACTGACTGCTAGCTGCAGTTCGGCAGTTCAAATCTTACCAGCTCAAGGTTGATTCAGTCTTCCATTCTTCCGAGGTGGATAAAATGAAGACCCAGATTGTTGGGGGCAATATGCTGACTCTGTAAACTGCTTAGAGAGGGCTGCAAAGCACTATGAAGCAGTATATAAGTCTAAGTGCTATTGCTAGTGCTATTGATAAGTAAAATCTTTAGTTAAATCCAGATTTCACCCTATTTGTGAAGTAAGGTGGGTTCTAATTCAGTTCATTATGCTTTGAATTGAATCCTCTAGTCTACTCCTATCTTAAATATAGTCTTTCCTGCCTACATCCTACCCAAACATCACATCAGTTCAGGGACAATTTGTGGCATTGATGACAAGGTATCTATCAGAGCAGGTTAGAGAAATTGGGAGACAAAATATTGATTTCAGAGATTAGCCAATTGGTTCAGGAAATTCTGTCTTTGAAACCTTCGTGTTCACATTGGATCAGACTGGTGTTTAGATAGAAGATCACTGTAAAATGTCAAGACTAAAGACTAGCCTGGAAAGTGGAAACCAACATCCTGGAGAAAGCCATGGCAATTTATTTTGGTACTGTTGTCAAGAAAACTACAAGGAGGAGTGTGGGTTCTGTTTATGAGAGGACAGTCCTGTATCTGAAGTTCATGTTTAAATGTAGCATTGAAGCTGCAGATGCATAGGCTACTTGGTCACATTTTCCAAGAAACTGTGGAAGATGGACCACTATATAAATTGAAATGATCATTACGAATGTGCATGCACCCACATAAATTAACACAGATTTTCTGCAAAGATGCTTTCCCTTTAATCCTTTCTCTCATTTATATTTTAAACAATGCAAAAGTGGCTGTCTTCAGTTCAGATCCATCAGATCTGTGAGTTAAATAGAGGCCTGTGGAACTGAGTAATGGCTTGACATCAGAGTAGACTATACACTTAGGATTAGAGTCATGTGAGTGACAACTTGACTTATAGGTACAAAGAATATAATTCATAAAGGAAAATGTACACTCTGCTTTTCAAGAACCCCAGGCGCTTTTGTAAGTCAAGCTTCTTTCCTGTTCTGTATGCCAGCATTGTTTCAGGAAGATCAATCACATTATCATGTCAGTTTCAACATTCACATGGCAATCCAATCATCAAATTATACTTTCCAAATATCCTCATTTTCCCTTATTAAATATATTAATTACAGCAATCAGATCATGAGATAGAGACTTTCTTTAGGTAAGAAAAAACCCAATCTGTTTGACATCTGTGAATGGCAGGAAAATGTAATTTCAAACATTTAAAATATTTTTAAGGAGGAAGAGAGAGAAAGACAGAGACAGACAGAGACAGACAGACAGACAGACACAGAGAAATCACAATAAAAAGATGCTTCTTTTTCCAACTCTTGATTATTTTAACCAGGAAGGAGCAATTTGTTATCATCTCTCCTTCATGTTAAAAAAAAGTCCTGAAGACTAATTTCTATCTTATTGTTTTTTGAATATTTTTTGTTGATAACTTTCAATTTTTTATGTGTAATGGTGTAAAAATTTTACATGCAAGGAAAAATAAAGAAATTGGTTAGAAAGGGGAGGGCAAAATCTGTGAAGAAAATGGAGAATAGGAGGAGGAGGAGGAGGAGGAGGAGGAGGAGGAGGAGGAGGAGGAGGAGGAGGAGGAGGAGGAGAAGAAGAAGAAGAAGAAGAAGAAGAAGAAGAAGAAGAAGAAGAAGAAGAAGAAGAAGAAGAAGAAGATTATTGACTATATATTTTATTAGTCCATTTGAGAAGACATTGAAAAGTAACACACACATACACACACACGGTTTCCATGCAGTAAAATGTCCATATACCTGTAATGTCTCAAGCCTTTCAGCCAAGCATGTAAGGCATTTCTTGAGATGCAGAGTGAGTTCCACTAGGAGGGGGAAAAATGAAGCAAGAATAAAAGATGGAACGCATCATTTCAGCTGCACTATTATCAAGTGTGGGATAAGTTTGTGGTTGTGTTTGGGCAGAACAAGAGGGAAGTGGGTGTGTTCGAAACAGCCAGGAGTCATGTCTGAGTAAAAATCACATTTTTCTTAAACCCAGTCTATGTATTGTCATGACATCAGTCCTGATTTATCTTATCCTATTTTAAGACTAATGACTAATTTTAGCTTGTTTCAATTAAGTGGCAGCTGAACAGAGAGTTAAAAGCTGCTCAGAATAATTGGGAAGGACCTTGTACAATTTGAGATACAGATTGTACATCCTGGCTATAAAAAGAGAAAATGAGCCAGCGTAGTTAATAGATATATTCTAGAAAATAATTGTTACTTTGGCTTCACATGTTCTTACCAAAACTACGCAGAGATTTGAATTTGAAGGGCAACATTGTTCCTGCCAGAGAACCCAGTAAAGCAACTGCATCTTAGATGCCCTCTCCAGCTGACACGTGATCTCAGTAAAAGATACTTGGTTTAATTATTTTTATTTATGCAATTATTGGCCTGTTCCTGACAGGACCCATGCCTGTATAATCTGTACCTCTGCACAGCCTTCAATCCTTGCTTGAAGTATCTGTACACCACTTTTATTACCATGATATGTTTCATAAAACACTGTGTTCACACCCAACACTATGCTAGAAACCATGGTGTTTAGGGCTACGCTAAGCCCCAAATCAGCCTAATTCTGATCTAGTGTGATATGTTAATAATAGTGGCATTGTTCACATATAATATTAAGCCACACACCAGAGGAGCAAAAAGGTAAATGTTTATAGTCTCCAAAAGCCTCCATGACTTGTTTGGTCAAATAATAACTTTTTTTTCCCTTGTAGAACAAAATTGGTGCCTAAACTCTGCTTGCAGCATCAATTAATACTCCCAAATCCCCATCTCCAAATGGGCTCTGATCCTAGCCACAATGGAAGTGTGTCCCTTGAGGTGTCTCCGAAGCCTGCAGCCAGAAGAATTTGTAGGCCCCTACCAGAAAATCTGATTTACCGATCACAATTGCTGAGTTCATGTGGCATATTAAGCAGTGGTGGGTTGCCCCCGGTTTGGACTGGTTTGCAAGCACTGGTAGTAAAACTGGCGGGAGGCTCCGCCCACCAACCCCAACGTCATCAGGAAGCTTCTGTGTATGCATAGAAGCGCACGCGCGTGAGCAAAACGAGCGCATGCGCATGGCCCTGTTGCGAACCGGTAGTAAAGGTAAGTAGAACCCACCCCTGATATTAAGCTACAGTCAGGGGAAGATGGTGAATCCAACTAATTGCTAGAGGCCTCCTTTACTATTGACTGCATTGTGAAATAAGATCAAATAAAGTAAACAAATTCTCCTATTGTCCCAAAGGTGCTTTTTGCAAGAGGCAACTGGACTTTCTTGTTTTTTCTTTTGAAGACATTTCGCTTCTCATCCAAGAAGCTTCTTCAGGTCTGACAGGATAGTGGGGAATGGAAGGATTTATAATCCTTGCATTGTTCTGGCCCAGCTACGGACCCAAAGAACACAGCACACACAAAGTCTGTACAAAACTTAAATTTACCTAAAATAACTCAGTCTTTTCCAAACAAAGGCTGTTAATAAACTTTCTTAACAGCCTACAAGAAACCAAAGATAAAGTAATCACAATCTTACTAGGGTTGGCAGAAACCCAGAAGCCATTTGCAGAGAATCCAGATGCGAAGGGGAGTGAACTAAAGTTGTTCCCTACAATTTGCTTCAGTCGGCATTCCTCCTTAAATAGGCTAAGGGAGTGGGCAATTAGCCCCAAGCCTTACTCTTGAGGAGATCTCCTCCTGAGGAGCCACTCCTGCCTTTTGGCAGCTCTGTGCACCCGTGCATCGAGAAGAGGCTCCTCCTCTTCGTCCTCTTCACTTAAAGGAGCTTTTGGAGGTTCTGAAGGCCCTGGCTGAACCCCTGCCTCTGGCACCACATCTTCTCCAGCCTCCTCATTGTCTGACTCAAGTGCCAGCTGCACAGGCTGCTGGCACAGCACCACACCAGCCTCCTCGTTGTCAGAATCATCTACAATCCGCACAGGCCGCTGACGGGCCACAACATGCATACAGCTGGTCATTTGCATCCTTTTAGAGGGTCATTGAAGCACCTGGAGGTTTCTCTGTGTCCTTAGGGTCACCTGGGTAGTGCTCCTGGTACCAGGAGGAAAAATTGCAGACTACAGGAACCAGGAGACACTACTCAGGTGACCCTGAGGACACAGAGAAACCTTGAAATGCTTCAAGGATCCTCTAAAAGGCTGCAAATGACCAGCTGTCTGCAAGGAATATAAATCTTTCCATTCCCCACTATCCTGTCAGAGCTGAAGAAGCTTCTTGGATGAGAAGACAAATGTCTTCAAAAGAAAAAGCAAGAAAGTCCAGTTGCCACCTGGGAAAAAAAGCACCTTTGGGACAACCATGACCTAGATGACTGAGAATCTCTACAGACTTTTAGTTATAAAATTCTCCTATTGTTTCCTGTTCAAGCTTTGACTGGAATTAAACCTTAAAAATGCAGCTCAACTGGCAAATACAGTATATTGCAGATATGACGGCAGAGGAATTTTATGTAGAAATGGAAAGTTTTGAACATCAGGACTTAGCAATCAGAGGGACTCAAATGAGACACACACATGTAGTCCTTGCTTAGCAACCCCAATTGGGACCAGCAACTTGGTCACTTAAGCACCACAGAAAATTACATGATTCGCAATGAACTTATGACCTTACTTCCCCTTCAATTGCTAAGAGAAGTGATGCAGTTGATGAGTGAAAAACTTATAATTTTATGTCTATCTTCTGGATTAACAGCGCCTGTCAGTTATAAATGTGATGCTTACAAAACTGAGGATTGGTTGTAACCTTTTTTTCACTATTGTAACTTCCAATGGTCATTGCACAAGGCGGTGTAAATGAGGGCTACCTGCACAAGAAATGAGCAGTAGTGTATCCTATTTGTATACTCTTATTCACACATGAGCATATTGTGTAATTAAGTCGGCGTTTCCCAAAAGTTGAGCCTATCCCTGTCAGGGATTAATAATACACTCCTTGCAATATGTTAAATTTCTTTTGGTTCCAGGTCAGAGTAGAATCCAAGCTAATCTTTAAACAATGTAATTACTTCATCTTTTGTATCACTGCCGCCTCAAAAAATAACACACGTTGCACTTAAAACAAGAACCTAGAATCCCCAACAGCTATTTAATTGAGCCAGTTTCAACTTGGCATTCGCCAGACCAAAAAAAATAAATAAATAATAGAAAACATAATTAAATTTCAGTATCGCCTGTTGTACGATGTATCTATTTGTAACACTAAAATGCTTCAACCACCTTTCTACAGCTCAAAAATTTCTAGTACCAAATTTGGAAAAGCGGGGGGGGGGGGAATGTTTTCTTTTGGTAGAACTAAAGAACTGAAAATCGGAAGCTCATATCGATCGGTTTGGCTGAGAATCATGGTATTTTAACTGTGTTTTAATGTCTTTGTCTACTTAGAAAAGAATGTATGGCTTCGTCCAGAATATGGTATTAGAGGCTTTAGGGCATTATCATTGAAAAATGTGTCTAGCCTGTGTTAGCAAGTTCCAATCAGTGTTAAGAGTGCAATATGGTCTCTACAACAGTAATAAGCCACTCATTTACTAAGAGTGCAATGTTAAACAAGAGCTGCCTGAGTGAGCTTCATAAAAACACAGAATGCAACCAATAAACAGACCTTGGGGATGATCTAGTCCAGTGATAGCAAACCTATGACACATGTGTCAAAAGTTACATGCCACAACATTTTGGATGACATGCCAGCATTCATCAACATCTGATGTCAGGTGTCACCATTCATGGTGGCCTAGATGGGGGTGAGATTGAAATTATTTTTCTTTTGTTGATGGTGGGGGAGGGGAGCGTGCCTGTGCTTGACACGCCAGCAGAGTCAATTTAGGCATTTTCTGAATTTTTAACACCCTGATCCCAAAATTTTCACCAACACTGAACTAATCCAATCCACTGCCCAATGCCAGAATCTACTCCTGCAGCATCTCCAACATGTGATCATCTAGCTTCTGCCTATGTATTTGAACAAAGAAAAGTTCACCATCTTCCAGAGCAATTTGTTACAAGCTTTTACTTTATTTTTTTTTAAAAAAAATCTTCCTGGTATCCGGTCAAAATACTGGAGAAATTATCCCAACCTCTACCGCCTCCCATGTACGTGAAAATAGCTATCATGTCTTCCCACAGTCTTTTCTCCAGATTAAACAACCCCATTCCTCTAACCATTCCTCAGAGGTTTTTCTTTTTTTACCATTTTGGTTGCTGTCCTTTGGATTCTCCAGCATATCAATATCCCTACTAAGATGCATTGCCCAGCACTAAGACAATATTCCAAGTGTAATACAATATTCCAAATGTGATACAACAATGCAAAACAGAGAGGGGGATATTACTTTTTTTTTTTATTAGATTGAATAAAACAGAGGACAACCCTTCAAAATTTCATTAGGTTGAGAAATGCAGTTAGTTTGGCTGGGTCATTAATAGACAAAACTTGCTTGATCAGTGCCCTCCTGGATTAGTTTACTTTAAATTTAAAGTTTACTTTAAATTATGCTTCTTTTAGGATTTACTTTTAGTATGTGCTGTATTATGTTGATATTTACAGTATAAAGATGAGAAGCAATCTAGAATTAAGGAGAAATTTCCTGAAAGTAAGAACAATTACCCAGTGGAACAGCTTGCCTTCAGAAGTTGTGGATGCTTCATCACTGGAGGTTTTTAAGAAAAGACTAGATAGCCACTTCTGGAATGGTATACAATCTCCTGCTTGAGGAGGAGGTTGGACTAGAAGACCTCCAAGGTCCCTTCCAGCTCTATTCTGATTCTGACTTTCTGTTTTCCTCACTTCAGAAGGCTGAGACACTGTGC